TCTCCCCTCTCTCCCCTCAGGGCAGCACGGAGGCTCAGCGGTTACCGCTGCAGCCTCACAGAGACGCCTCCACCTCCTCTGTCTGTCCGGCTGCTTGTCTCTGTGTGGAGTTGGTGTTCTCTCCGTGCTTGCGTGGGTTTTCTCCGGGTGCTCCGGTTTCCTCCCACAATCCCCAAAAACACACTGATTGGAAACTCTAAATCACCCCCCAAAAAAATGAATTCAAATAAATGCAACAAAACAAAGTCAACTCTAAACTCTTTCTGCTTCTCTGAACAAACACAACTTCAACACATTCTACCTGTTGTTGTTCAAACGGTGGTGGTTTTGACCTGAAAGGACTAAAGATCTTCAGCTATTTATCATCATTACTATTGGACAGGATTTATGTGGTGGAATAAAGGTTGATGTTCAATATGATAGAACTTTATTAGGATCATGTTTTAACACTAAGAGCTGCTATTCTAAATAGGCACTTTAGACATGTCAGGTTTTACATTTCTGCACAGGAAACACAAACAGTGTAATGTGCTCTGTAGAAATAGTGATGCTTTGAAGGTTATCATGACTGCACTTGCACCAAAGAAGTCCAAAGTCTTAGATAAAAGACAACAGGCAGACTTTAGCAAATACACCCTCCCTGGATTTTAAATCTTCAGTCTTTGTAACAAATATTGACAAAATGTGGACACTTGAAAACACACCCTTAATATAACACCTATAAGAAAAACTCAAACGACCTCAAGTCAATTGATTTGAGCTGATAGTGAACGTTTACAATAAAATGAAGCTGTATCATGTTTCCACACCTCTGTTTGAGAAGCTCCAACATGTACAGCACCTATAGCACCTATACACATAAGCTCGAGCTGCTGGAGAGGTATAGTTATAACAAGCTGTTACAAAGACATTGCCTCAATGTTTTGTCATGATGAAGGAGCTGAAAAGAGATCTCATCAAAAACTGAAACAATCCAGTAACACTGGAGGTCAGTTCTTTACTTGTCATCTTTAAAAAAAAATGCAGCTTTACAATGCAAATAAATTTTTTCAGAACAATTAATCAAACCAAAATGTACCATTTAGAGCCCAGTTTGCCTGCAGAGATGTTGAACATACAGCACAAAGTTTTACCTGATTAGACTTAATGAGTATGTTTATTTATGAAACATGATGTCATCCAAAACAACAGGGTCAACTCTGCTTCTTTCTTAGCTGCTGTCTGGGTGAATAAAGAAACTGTGACAGTGAGAGTCAGTAGAGACCCAAGAACAAATCTTTGGCCTGCGACCCCCTGAGGGGATTAATCCGGCCATGAAATTTACACATCCTTGTGAAATTTTGAATAAAAACTTATTTTAAGTGTGCGATATCCATCCATCCATCCATCCATCCATCCATCCACAGCTGAGGCGGAAGACTTTGTCCAGGGGAGCTGCAGGATCAATCTTGGCCAATGCCATCTGGTTCATCATAGTGTACTTTGAGAAGGTCCTGGTTCCAAAAAACTGCAGCACCTTGTTCCCCAACTTGAGGTTGTAAGCTTTAACTGACCTGGCTGAAATTCTGTGACACCTGGACCAATGCTTTCTACGATGCCAGCTCCCTCATGGCCAAGGACCTCATATCCTCAAACAAGTGTTACAGGTCTGTGTGGCACACCCCAGTTGCCACAATATGCACAAAAGACAACAAACATACAATGAAAACACAGACGATTTTGTGCGGGAGCAGCGTAGTATTCCAAGCAAACGATGCCATATTCAGAGTAACTTACATACAGGGCAGCATGCAGCCAAAAACCTCTTAAATGCAATTAAATATTTCCATCATTTACAACAGTGCACTTCACATTTACCAGGTCTATCTATGTGTTTCTCTGTATGACCTGCCCACATAGATCAAATCACTTGGTTTCAGCTAAGGGTAATTCTTCGGATGAAATTCATTTTTGGTCTCTAAGCTGCTGTGCTGCAGAGACTGAACGGGGACTGGAGGCTTCTCAGTACCCAGCTGCCCAGTTTAGGAAACATCAGTAAACTGTCGTGTCTACCAACAATCTGTATGTGATGCATTTAGTGTAATCTGTAAACTGTAGCNTCTCCTGATGTTCAGCAAAGTGTCTCAGCTGTAAGTTTTGCAGAATGAACGTCTGGGATAGACAAGACACTCAAAACGTTCACTTTCGTTGTCTCCTGAAGTGGCCGCAACTATTACAATGACAACAATAAAGATGCTGTTATTCTGAGAATGTTGAATAGAATTTATTATTTATTTAAGTGTATACCAGCAGAGACCTTTGTTCCATGGTTTTATTGCGCTGTCATGTGTTTTGTTCTGACTTTGGAAGACTCTCTGTTTTCACCATTCATGTGCTTGCATCGCTGGTCACAGACTTTCTCTGCTTTTATTGAAGGATTGTAAATGCAGTAACATTGTTTGACGATCGTACTTTTAGTTTCTGCAGAAGCAAAAAGATCCAGACAGTCAGATTAGCTAGATAGCTAGAAAAGCTAACAAGTGTGCTGTGTGGCTGACAAAGCAGCAGCTCTGTTGCTCGGCAACAACATGAAAGGCAAAAGTGTGTGACATCATCGACCAGCACACTGTGATGCAACATTCCGGAAGTTAGTTCAGCATAAGTAGGACTGATTTAGTCAGTTAAGACATTTGATCAGTCCGACAGCAAGAAGCAGCAGCAGCTTTCTCTACGAGACACACCGAAGAGTTTTCTCGCTCAAGTAGGTCATTGAAACACAAGAACAAACCTTGTACATCATGGAACAAAGACGGTACCAACAAAGACGGGCCATGATTCCTTGCCTTGGTACCTATGAGTACCAACAAAGACGGGCCATGAATCCTCGCCTTGGTCCCTCTGGATTCCAACAAAGACGGCCCATGAATCCTCACCTTGATGGCCACTGGAACCACGCCCAGGAAGTCGCCGAGCTGCGACAAGCTTTGGAGGCATGCAAGGCTGAGAACCACAGGCTGATGGCGTACAGTCAACATCTGGAAAAGGTCAACCTCCAGGTTGTGGATGAAAAACAAAGGATCAGTGAGAAGCTGACCTCAAGCTACAGCCTGATGAGGAACAAGGACAATTATGTGGCGAGCAGAGACCTTCAACTGAAACTCATGAAAGAGCAGATGAAGCGAGAAAGGGAGAGATTCACCAAGCTGAG